CTATCAACCACTCACAAATCGAAATGGTTTCCATTCTTATAGAACTTTCTAATGTTTAATTGGCAGACTCACACCAACAGCAAAAGGGGGGAGCACTTTATGATGTATTAATTGCTTGTGTTTGTCTGTGTGTGTCTGCGTGTCTGTGTGTAACGTATGTGTTGGTATATTATGTGTCTCTGTTCAATGTTTCTCTGTCCACTGTCAACTATGTCTCGCTGGACTATGAAGCCGAGCCGATGGCCCTGGTTTAAATCTCAGACTAGGCGTTCTTGAATTCAGGTCGTTTGCTGAGTTTTTCAAGGCTCCCTTAACCCATTTGGTTCTGCTTGTTGGAGATGGATGTAAATTCGCAGGTCTCGCCTCTTAAAGAACGTAAATATCTAATAGTGTTGATTGGGTCATTGAAAGCATGTACTTTACTTTTTTGTAATGTGTCTCTGCTGTATATCACTACCTAAGAATTATAAAGTTCTATCTGACATTTTTGACTGTTTTTAGTTACTAAGACCATGAGGTCAGAAACGAAATGTTCTATCTGCTCTATCAAAGTTATAAGAATATTCGAAGTCGTTATAAAGATATTCCAAGAATTGCATATATGAAAAAACTTGACATGTTGTGAAAGTCACAATTTTTAAATGTAAAGTTTCTCGAAACTAAGTATTGAGCAGATACAACTTTGTAATTATTCAGATAGCGATATGTCTGTATGGCCACCCTGGTCTTTGGTATCTCCTATTATATTTTGCCTATACGACTCCACCTGTAACCGTCACATCATCGTGCGTGATGTTTCTTGCTTTATATCATCTGAATGCAACATTTATTCATCATTTATTGTAACTGGGATCCAGGTCATACTTCTTCTGAGGAAACAGCCGGTAACGTTTCATGTTTTATTTTTAGTTCCTATTTTAATTTTCACTACCCATGCCAACCCGCACCCTTTCCAACTTACTTTGTCGTTTCATTTTAAAAAGGAAGTAAATGTGCTTATGTGTGTGTGTGTGTGTGTGTGTGTGTGTGTGTGTGTGTA